TTTAAGAAAATGCCAACCACTTCTTAGGGGTTTTGAGATTGATGAACTGCCTCTGTTATTATGTAAATTGGAGCTCTCTACAGTTTTTTTCTGATGCCTAGAGAGTATAGTATGCAAAATACTGTAGCTTCTTCTGTTAATCCTATATTGGGCATCAGACGTTGATTTTCCCACAGCAATGTGTGTCACATTTGAGGAAGGCTGGTGCCACTGTATTTCTTTTCTGGTGTCTCCTCTCTTCATTTTGCTTCTGGTTTTTGCTTTCTTGTTCAATTTCTCCATTTAACTTCTCTTCGCATCATGTTTGGCTTGCATGTCATGTTTTTTATTTAATGGTTGTGGGATGCGAATAATGCACTCAAGGATCTGAGAATTAGAGCTCCAATTCAGCAAAAAGTGTGGTTCACAAAATAGTCCAGAACTAACCACAGTTGAAGTATGATAGTATGTTATAAGCCAATTTCTGGGCCCGTGCTTCTTCCTTTCAATGGGGCATTTGCAGTAGGGACACGGTTAGCATGCGTCCAAGCCCTCACATGTAGAAATGCGAGCTTGGTAATAAATATATTTTTGAAATATAATTTGATCCTAGTTTTTAGGGAATATATAATTTTTTAATATGGTGATCATGAACATGAAAAAATAAATAAAATTTGAAAACTAGAAATAATAATTATATTAAGAAAACACTTTGGACCGTTAGTTACAATTGTTTTTAGATGGACCACCTATTTGCATCCATCTTTATGATGGATGCTTTATGCCTCTGGACCGCATATTGTACAAATGTGGTCCAGCTCACATGAAAGAAGTGGATCTAAGGTAGATGTAGGATTATGTGAAGGATTAGCTGCGGTTTATATAGGCCATGTAATCTGTATAAGATGATCTATTGAAGCAACCAGTGTATTAGCACTTAAAACAGTGAAAAATCTAAGAGAAACAAGATTATAAAATTCGTTGATAATTTGGTTTGGTACCCGTTATATATATTTGTGTTTTTATTTTTGGGTTTTGTTAGGCTACACCACTTGTAGTGTAGACCCCTTAAAGTGCTCAACATTTTTAGACATTTAGATACCCTTATCCTATAGTATAATAACTTTTTGTTTAGGGTTATTTTAAGTAATTAATCAAGGGTAAACTATACATTTCTAATAGAAACAAAAACATTTATTAACAATAGTAGACAATGACATCCTCGATATGGTATGTGACATCACCCACAAGATGGATTAATTGTTTTTAACTACTAATAGAGTGCCACTCTTTTCTTATAAAAATATCAATTCTACCCTTTTAACTGACCAAAAATGCCCCTACTTGATAATTTTGTATTACAATTCAAAGGTATTTTAGTGTCAAAAAATGTTGAGCAGTTTAGGGGTCTACAACACCAAGTGGTATAGCTTAACAAAACCCTTTATTTTTTTAAGCTCATCAATTGTTTTCCTAAGTCCCTCTAAATCCCCACCTAAACCACAATTTTAATTTTTATTCTATTTTATTTATTGTTTGACATTTTCCTGGATCACCAAGTTGGACAGATCCACATCTGATATGGATCACTGACCCAACAATCCAACAGGATCAATGGGTGAATGATCCACCCAAAATGATCCGAGTTTTGAAACTTTGGGGGGTAGGGTTCCTTTTAAATGGCTTAGATTCATCAAAGTACTGCAAACTGTATAGAATACCAACTTGGAAAGCTTCTGGAAACGTTCATGTTATTTCTCATGGTACTGTGTTACAGCTCTGTACTACGAGTTGAAGTGCAATAGAAGTTATACGGTGCAAGATTTGTTGCATGTGTCACAAGATGTGTCACATGTGAGGCAATAATGGAAAATTTACTTTGTTTAGGCAAAATAGTGGTAACTTCAAACAGTATATTAGATCAATGTTTTGGCTTATTTTTAAGACTTTTAAGGATATTCTGGTAATTTGAGAGGTGTATAGACAAGCTTCTATGTGAGGTCTGGCACAAGAAGTTATCATGAATGCCAAGACGTAATCAAATTTTATGTGTCTGTAGTTGCCTCTCTTTGATATTTGTTCATAAGTTGAATGATTATCAAAGAAGTATGTACTTCATGTTGTGGGATATATGAAAAACAATATTTGATAGTCGAGAGACCATTCATCAATCAGAACCTAGGCAAATGGGTCAAGGGTCATATATGCAGATCCAAAGTGAAAAATGGGGCTTTGTTATCTGAGAGGATCAATTATCTGACAGGATCCCGATGCATGAAATGGACTGCCAAATGGGAAGTCATATGAACTAAGTCCTTTCGGCGTAAAACTGACTGCCTATTAGAAATGTATCTGAACTGGATCCTCATGGTGCGAAATGCATTGCTATATGAAAAAATACAGGATCCACTTGGCTACATCCGCCTAGACCTATCTTTCTTTCTATTTTCCTATAAATCTCTAGGAAAAAGTAGAAAGCTAACAGAATTCATCTATGATTGGATTGAAAACAGCATAGGCCTTGGTGACATGGAGAAATTTGATTGAGAAAATATCTTTGAATATAAATCATATTATCAAGGGCAACAAATTGGTCTTCTTAAACGTAGGCTTTGGACATGTTCACCTGTGGGTAGGGTTTTAGTTTATTTGACTAGATTTCAGAAGAGATCATACTTCTCCAGTCAGATTTGGCCTAAAATAATGGGACAATGTCATCGTTTTTTGTTGTGTCGTCACTCCTTCATTCTAGAGTTCTTCATTCTAGAAAACTTTAAGAGATAATGGTTCTTAAAATACAATATAATAGAGATTTGGAAAAGTGTTTGTTGAGTCAGCCAACTTACACTATTTTTGTGCGGTCTTGTTACGAAATGTATCTCAAAGATATATTTTCGATCCAAAAATTTCAGGTTTGATAATCTCAACCATGACAATTATCTAAATTTATAATTTTTCTTTTACAAAAAATATAAATGTTATTTTTTGAATTCCTTTCTTCACCGTTCATTTTAACTTTTAGCGGATATTAACATTTTTTGACATCCAGCTTAGAAATGGACAGTAGACAAGGGACCGCACAGTAATAGGTGAGTCGGCTGACTCACCAAAACCGTGTCCTAGAGATTTTAGGAAAAAGAAATTAAATTTTTTGAGAAAAGGAATTAGGATACTTGCCTTTGATGATTAGAATTTTGGCTTTGGAGGTTATGCTGTCCCTCACAGGGATTAAAATGATCCTTATAGACTACATAACTATGCAGTTGCCACTGTGGAACGTACTACTCGAGAATTTAACTGCTGGGTATACTGTCATCTTGTGTGCTGGGGTAGTCCATTGTGGACTGCAGAGCTTTACGGTCACCACCATCATCATGGGACAATCTTGATGCTCTAGAAAATTTCTTAACTCGATCACCACCTTGGGGTAGTTTTTGGGTGATCCAAGGTAACTGTGGCATGCGCGAAATGTGCGACATGTTGTGAGTACAAGATGCACCAAAAATGCAGAAAATACAATTTTATAAATCACACCTCTTGTGACTCCTATGTTATTTGTTGTTGAAAATTTTCAGCATGCCTGCTTTGAAATCACGGTCGGAATCTGCAGATTCAATTTATCCATGACTAGGATCGAGAACTTGAAAATGAGTCATCTTAAGGACAAATAAGTAAGAAGAAATCCTCCGCAAAAGCAACATCCTTGATTTCTTGTTATATTCCTTGAGCTCTAATGTTCCTTGATGAAGGTAACTACCTCTTCGTTAGGTGATGAGTCAATTCGTGTTCTGAATTAGCCGACTTGTTCAGAGGAGTTTTTTGCAGTAGCAATGTGTTTCTTATGTGTTCACGTTCTACAAGGTGCATGTAGCTGATCTTGGTAGGAAAGCCACCCGCAATTGCCTCTTCACAAAGCGTGAGTGCTTGCAACATTTTGTTGATTGATTAATTTTGAAACTTGTTGGTCCTTTTCTCCTTCTCATTTCTTTGTAACAAGGCTTATCTTAAGGCAATTTCCAATTTGCTTGAGCAGCTGATGAACCTTTTTGATTCAACTAACATTGATTGAGAATATTTTCAATGAAATTCATATTTCCTGTGATATCTTATGAATGTCTATGAAATTGCTTCTGGAAATCAATGTTCACGATCTCAGCTAAAGCTCATGAATACAAGATTGCTAAGTGGGATGATGACATACCTCAGATCTCAATTTTGGTGTAATTACATAGAAAAGAGTGGGCATAGGACCCGCGACTTTTAGGTAATTAAGCTTAATTTTTATGGGAGCTCTTTAAGTGACCTTTGATTAGTAGGCATTGGGGGTGTCTTGCAAGAGATCAGAGGAGCATTTCTATTGACATATTCGGGTTCGGTGGGGAAGCTACTGCTAAGGAAGCTGAAATCAAATCCTTGTTATAGGGTTTAAGACTGTTATCTTCTTTTAGTGGTCCTACAATAGTAGTGAGAGATTCATTGAAGGTAATAAATTGGAGTGGGGATAGATTTCGGATTCCGTGGAGGCATTTAATGCTTACGAATGAATTCAAGAAATAATTGTTGTGGAAGGAATTCAGTTATCACATTGTTTGTGGGAGACTGATAAGGAGGCAGATGCTTTAGGGAGGAGTGGTACTCAAAACCTAATTCTTTGGTGGTTAATAACTTTAATATTTTGACTCCAACTTTGTATTGCAATCCTGTACGCATTTTTCTTAATGAATATATACATGTTAACATTCCGAAAAAGAAAAAAAAGAAAAGAAAAGAAATTTGATGTTCACAATTTAGAAATGACAAAAAAGGGGGTTTTAGAAGGTTTACTTCATGGGCCATCTTGGAATGCATTCTCTTACATTCAGCATCGTTTTGACCTATCTTTTACATGGGGAGAACTTCACTTGTAATAACATCACCTCAATCTGAGTGAGGTCTATAACAAATTCTCATGTTAAATTTCAATTTAAACCTTCTTCGAGAGGTTTAAGCAAAAATCTCATATACTTTCTTACTTCCAACAGGTGAGGCGACCATCACATTGACGAAAATGCCATATTTTCATGGTCTAGATCCTTTTGAGAGCATACTGGGTATAAAGTAGGGGAGTACAAAACTCACTCAAACAAACAGGAAAAGGAGTATTTGTTGCTTCTAGTTAATCCTCCAAGGATATTCAGGCATGGTGGCTCAGTTTACACTTGTTAGCAAGAAAACTGAGGAAGAGGCACCAGCATTGAGGGACTGGTTTGGGAACAAAGTAAACCAAGGTGTATTAAACAGTTTTGAGCTTCAAGACTGAGAAACCCCTTGAGGGTTAGGTCTCAACTTGTAGTGACGAAGGAGTGAAAGAGAAGCAGACGGAAGAAGAGAAAGAATAAGAGGATGAGAGATAATAGCTAGGTGAGAGGATGGAGCTCAAATATCTAGAGGACTACGAGAGATGGAGTTCCGTAGTGCTTAGGGAGTGAAATGTGATGACGTGGACGAGGACATATAGAAAGAACAATGGAAGAGACTACGTAGCACTTATGGGCGAAAATGAACATTATTTTTACCTATAGATTCGGCACTGTCTGATTTTTTGGATGGCAGACCGCCACAGGCATAGCATGTCCGTCGCAGGTTTTTTCACGCAAGAAAAAATGGGATTCCGCCATGGTTGTTATAGAGCCGTTGTGGGTTTTCAATGGGTGAAATACTATTCAAATTTACCTATAGGCATTTTTAAGACTTTTCTGAAAATAATTATTAGAGTTTTTGTCCCACATGGTTTCAATGGTAAAATATGGTGGATGGGTGAGTCTTTAAAAGAAGAGTGGTTAAAGAGAGCTAATAAGACCCTCAACTTATCCGGTTTGAGTTGAGTAGGGTCGACCTAGTTCGAGACCCGACCCATTAATTGGTTGGGTCCACACTTTTGGATTCAGTCTCAACCCACCATGATCTAAAAGCAGACCAAGACTTGGACTTGGGTCTCACACCCCTACTTTCTAAGTCGTTTTACACGATTCGAGGAAACGAGCATTGCCTCAAAACCCTAGCTCCTTGAGCTTAAGCTATAGATAACCGGATTCAATTCAAATAGTGGAAAAACTCATATTTACCTCAAATATATTCATGATCAATCAATTTTTACCTACCCTCCAGGTAGAATCATCTCTTGGAATACATGGTTGAGAGCCGCACCCCAGCATTATTTGCATTGAAGGGCAACATCATTGTGAGCATAAAGGACGTATGGGGCAAATGCCTTACACCCATCTTCTATTTTCTTATAAAATTCATGGGGCCATTGCCTTGCTATAACTATCTTATCCCAGTGAAATAAAATTGCATTGAATTAGATGCACCAACATTTGGGTTTTGGTGCTATTTTAAAGGAAAATAAAGTTATATTTGCACCTATTTTTTACAAACTTTTGGGTGGCTACAGTGAAATCACCTCAGATGGTAGTGACACTGTTAAGGGAGGAGCGAAAAAAGAAAGAAAAAAAAAAGACTTTGGGACAAAGGGCAAGGGCCTTATGAAAAATTACAAAAGGACATAAGAATGGGCTCAAGGTTAGGTGGTCAGGGACAGGCGCCACAACGTGACTTCTAGATTTCGTTGCTACCACAAGTAAGCAACCGCTTCCCCATTGAACTACCTAGCAAAACAATTATGAAGCCCTAGTTAAATTTTCCGTGTGCAATTGAAAATATTTTCGTGTCGTTCGATATTCTAAAGGATCTTTGCAATAATGCAAGGCCCCTGTAACAATGGACGTGGTTGTGAGTCTTAAATGCTACTCCCCAACTTAGAGAAAACTCACCATATATTTATAGGGAATTTATAGCCTTTCAATTATTACAAGCATCCTCTTACCGTCTCCAAAACAAGCATTGACAGCAGTTTGTAAGTCTTAAATGCTACAAACAACTTAAACAAGCATTCACTGCAGTTTGTAAGTCTTAAATGCTACAAACAACTTAAATAGTAGGTAGAAAACCACTTTCGGAGTAAAATAAAAACCGACCTTATCCTATCAGTGAAAGAAGGCAGATATTTCAAGGAAAGATTTAATATTTTAATAACTAGATAAATTTACTCAAAAAAAAGACATCCATATTTTGCAGAATTTTAAAAGTTCTTTTTTCTTTTTATTTTTTTTTTATTTTTTATGCTCAATTTCCCTTTTACGTCGTATTTTTATCTCTCATATTAGCTCTGAACATGCCACTTGTAGTGCTGAACTCAAAATTTTTTCCTTTTAATCAAAAACGGGTTTGAGTTCGACATATGAAGTGCTAAATTCTTTTTGTTTTCTAGTTAAAACATGAGTTTAGCACTTGATGTATTCGTACTTCAACTTTTAAGTAAAAATATTTTTTTTGAGTAATTCAGTGGGAAAGAGAGGCCCCTACTTTTTTTTTTTTTAAATTGATTGGGAGTTAGTTTTTGAAGGTTCAAGTTGGTGGCATTAACATGATTAGAAACAACAATGGGGTAATTAGATATGGGGTTGTGTCCACCACTATCCAACCCGAAAAAAAAAGAAAAAATATCTCATTATCTCATATTTTTAATTTCTATTTATCATATTTTTAATTTTTATTTATCATAAGACCGAATAATTGAAAATATTACAGGTAATATAGAATCTCTTATCTTTTCTATTTCGAATCCTTTTGATCATCTATTTTTTACTTCAAAAAATATTAAAATGACACCTTCTCTCAACAATTCTTTTTTTTTTACCGTTAATTGACCCTCTATCTCTCAAATCACAGTCTCTCTCTCTCAAATCACTTTCTCTCTCTCTCAAAACTCTCTCAATTACCCATTGTTCTAGAGAAGTTTCCCTCTCTACATCGTCTCTCTTTTCTCTCTCTAAAAACACCAGGTCTCTATCTAGCCCCTTTTGCAGCCCAATATACCACAAACTCCCTCTAAAAAAACCCATTGATCTGAAGCCCTATGGCCCTGTTGTAGCCCCAATCCACCAATCATTTGGAGGGCACAAAATCGAGCCTCAAACATAGCCGATTGTGCAAGCAAAGTATACTTAGCTCAAAGATTGCAACCAGTTCTGTGGAACATAGGAACAACCTTGCTGGATGAAAAGCTAAACTTTGTGATTGATTGAATTCTGTTTTCATGCATGGATAGGGATGGAGATAAATGGTGGTTCTGCTTCTTATTCTTCTTCTGGTTAAATGCGCACAAGCACGCCAACTAAATATGCATATTGCAAATTTAGAGATTCAAGACCCAATGTTATGTACTGAGCACCCTGCAAGATTCTAAGGTTCCTGACTTTGGCATAAGAGGATATAACTCTTTCTTGGTGATGAAGATTTGGCTGCCCCATTGAGTGGTTTCCTCTGGTTGGCTGCTGATAAGAGAAGAGCTCGTCCATTTAATGTAAATATGCAGCGGCATGTAAAGCAATTTGATCGGTGTTCATTAGAAATTATGATGCATCACTTGATTTTTGTTAGCACTGCATACAAGTTAATCATTAGTATTCGATATGAACTTCATGTATGTTACATCGTTGAATATAAACTTGCAGTTGATTGATTAGTTAATAGTGAACATGTGATTTGGTCTACCATCATACTCCTCATCTGTGATTTTGAAAAGGCAAATTCAAATGTGACTTAGAATTTAGATCCATCAATAATAACACTTAGATTGGGGATCTACGATTTGGGTATTTGAGTTAAAACCTTTTTAAAATGGAGTTCAACCGCTAGAAAGAAGAAATATATGGATGTAGGTGTTTGAGGCTCGATTTTGTATCCTCCAAATGATCGGCTGGTTGGGGCTGCTACAGCACAATAGGGCTTCAGGTCTGTGGAATTTCTTAGAGAGAATTTGTGGTATATTGGAGCTGTAAAAGGAGCTAGATTGAAGCACAGTATTTTAGAGAGAGAGAGAAGAGAGACGATGTAGAGGTAAATTTTTCTGCAACATTAGGTATGAGAGAGCGAGAGATGGATATGGAGTTTTGAGAGAGAAATATAAGGTGATTTGAGAGAAAGACGGTGATTTGAGAGAGATGGTGCTTCGAGAGATAGATGATGATGAAATTAATAGAAAAGAAAAAAGTTGTTAAGAGGGTGTTATTTAGTATTTTTTTGGATAAAAAATGAATAATAAAAAATGTCTAAGTGGTTGAAAGATAGGAAAGATAGAGACTCTATACTACAATTAATATTTTTAATTTTTGGATCTCACGATAAACAGAAAATAAAAAAAAAAAAAAAAAAAAAGAAGTAAAAGATAAAAAAATATTTTTTAAAAAAATGAAGGTTTAGCATAAGTAAAGATGCGTAATCACTTTTTTTTAAGTCTATACACTCGTGTGAGCAATATTACACACTTAGTCCCTTTGGCAAAATGAGATACTTAGGATAAGGCCTATGCCTTAGAGAAACACATCCTAGAAAAACGGTTAAAACGGGGCCTAGGCGTTACGAAAATAAGTTCTGCACATTAAATCTCACTAAAAATTATAGCATAAAAAATCATAAAATTCATCATCTCGTTCTTGATCATTATGAATGTGAAAAAATTAGGGTTTTTAGCTCTCAAAATAGTATTTATTGTAATAATGTATCTAGACCGTTTATTTTCAGGTGTTCATAGATCGACAAGATTTGTGCCATCTTTCAGCTACAAATTCTTTATCAGTGGCAAAAATAGATTTTATAGTAATCGTAGGGGTTCCCATGTCTCGAGTGTTTTCCCGACGAGATTTTGAGGTGAGGTTTTATTATTTTTCATAAAGCTTACACCTCTTAGGAACTAAATCCTTTTTGTAGGAAAAAGGTTAAAAGAGGACATATGCTTATGAAAATAAGTAATGTTGCATCTTAAATCTCATAAAAAAACTCTAATTTTGGTATCATAAAACTTTAATTGATTATCTCAACCTTGATAATTATGAATGCGAAAAAAAATTAGGATTTTGAAGCCCAAAAAATAATGTATATTGTAACGCATTATCTAGGCCGTCCATTTTTCAGGTGTTTACAAATATGTGAGATCTGTACCAGTTTTTGAGCTACAAATTTGACTTTTGATAGTGAAAATAGATTTTATAGCCACCATAGGGGTTGCTCTTGGCCAAAGTATTTTCCAACGAGATTTTGAGGTGAGGCTTTACTTTTTACCCATGAGGGCCTAGGACTTATAGAAACCACAACCTTTTGTAAGAAAAGATTGAAACAAGGCTTAGGCCTTATGAAAAAAAGTAAAGCCACATCTTAAATCTCACCAAAAATTGTAGTTTTGGCATTGGGAAGCCTTAAAATTGATCGTCTTGATCTTGAAAAAAAAATTAGGATTTCAAACCCTAAAAATAATATATATATTATAAAAGCATTATATAGGCTTTCCATTTTTATGTATTCACATATCTATGACATCTACCATTTTTTGACCTACAAATTTCATTATCGGTAGCATAAATAGATTTTATAGCCATTGATGTAGTTTTCCACGCCCGAAGTGTTTTCCAGGCAAGGTTTTGAGATGAGGCTTTATTGAGGACTAGGCCTCTAAAAACCACATCCTTTTTTATATTTAAGACTTAGAGATCCACCTAAAAATCACTTGACGAATATAAGAACAAGTATAAAATTGGATTTTGTGTTCTTAAACACTTAGAACAGATGGTTGAAAATTTAGACAATCTGTGTTCTATATTTGTTCATTATCTTTTAGGCACATGCACAATCCATTTAAAAAGAATATTTTCTTAAAGTTTAGTCTGTTGGGATATATAACTAGGGAAAAGTTTATATAGAGCGGAGGCTCTAAACAATCAATTCAGAGCCTACCTCAAAAAATTCATTAGAAGAGTTGGTTTTGATGCTCAAATATCTTTAAATTGATCATCTCAACATCAAGAGGCCATGAGAAAAAAATGGATTTCAAGTTTTAGAAATAGTGTATTTTGTAACGCATTTTTGGACCGTCAATTTTCAAGATTTTCAAGTTTTCATAGATCAATTGATCTACACTATTTTTGAAGTTTTAAACTTTATAAATAAAGATGAAAATATATTTTAATACTATCACAAAAAATTTTAGTATTGAAACCGCATTTCTCAACACTATTTGAAGATAGGCTCTAATTTGATTGTTTAGAGCCTAGGCTTAATACAAACCGCACCCATATAACTAAACGTTGTCTTCTAAACACACTCTATACATGCCTAAAAAATACTCTATATATGTCTCCTGAAAAGAGACATACACCCCACTTCTTATAATTATAATCTTAAATAAACCATTGGGTCCATGAAAAGACTCAAGAACCCATCTAAATTAAAAGAAAATAATGTCTAACCCCTTCCAAATCTTTTTCATAATGCAAATGACAGTATTTATGCTATTATTATTTTTCGATTGACCTCATTATCTACCCCCCCAACCCACCCAGCCACCTACCCACCCAATCTCTCTTTCAACATCTCTTGAATCTTCAATCTCTCTTATCTCTTGAACCTTACAAGAAGGGTAAATGTATCATCTCAAAATTTACTTGGATGATGGGGATATTAAAATTAAAAAAGAAAAGGAAAAAGTAAAAAAATGCATATTGCAATTTGGGCAGTGGAAAAGGTAAGGGGACCATGAGCTTTGTTTGGATCCAAGGCTTTATTTGAAATTACAATTATAAATAGGAGGTTTATACATTTTTTCCTCTTTTCCTTAAAAATAATTATCATGTGATATTTGGGTGGATCCCAAAATTCCAAACCTAAAAAGTTGTCCTAAGTAGCTCTTTTCATAAGAGAGCGGTTTGTAATATATTGCTCTAGGAGCATAATACACATGCACTTAAAGAAAGTGGTGCTAAACCCATTATTTGCTTAAAAATAAAGAAAGGCTCAATACTTCATCATATTTTTACCTACATGAAAATAGGATTATATACAATGGGACTATTTGCCTTTGGTACAAGGAGATTACAATTACTTATTATCATCTGATATGAGATCTAATAGCTTGGGCGGGTCACAAAGTTTGAAATTTTTTTTTTTTAAACTTTGAGCTTGGTTAATGGATTAGATGCAGCCACCCAATTTCACATCTAATGGTCAAGATTAATTGTGACCTGGTCTAATTGTATATTTTCTCAATAAAACTATACAACTATTTCAAGTGCCCGCTCATTCTTTTTAAAAGAGAAAGTTCAAGTACCAAACCCGGAGGTATTTAGGAAAAATAAACTACCACAAAAAAGACTTGAATATAAAAATTAAAAATAATAATATTTTTTAAAAACAGGTGTAGTATGCTCTAACATAAACATATTGTACATTAACTCCCTTAAGCAAAAGAGTTACTTGGGAGAAGTTTTTTGATATGAAGTTTTGGGATCCACCTTAGAACCATGATTTTCGGTTCTTCGATACTTAGATGGTGCCCTCTCAAGATTAGATGCCCTGGTTTAATTTTGGGACGATGTTTTTTTTTTGGCACGTGGATGTTTGATATGAATTTCTCATTTTTGGAAGTTGGTCTGTAGGTTTAAAAAGTTAAAACCTCAAAATTTGGAGTCAAAACGTACTTTCTAGCTTAAAGTTTACCCGAAGGAGCGGGTAGACAGTATTTTCCCATGAGAACAACATGCCTTTTGTCATTCTTTTAATTGCAAAAAATATAAAAGACTTTTGTATCTGCTCCACATTGAGCATCACAATCATCTCTTTCTCTCTTTTCTCAATAGATAAAACTAATTTGGAGTGATTTCATGCAATGATTGTATCATAGTATAATACAATTAAACTTCTAAAAAATAATGTTTGTGGTATTTATAACATTCAAAATTTTGCACACACTCTCTTTATCTCAATAGTCAATATAAAATAAATAAATTAATTTACATTCTATGAATGGTAAAAATGAGTCTCCTCTAACAATGAATATAGACCATCCATTTGATAAACAAGATCTAGGTCTTTATGAATGCAAAATCATTTTTTTCTTTTTTAGTATTGTTAATGTAATGATAATAGAATTATCTAAAAATTTGAAAAAAAAAAGAAAAGAAAAGATCATTTTAAGGCTTAGATTTAAGCATTTCACCAAAATGAACGGCCTACATCAATTGGGCTAAAAAAATACTTTTTAGGTTGCGTTTTCAAACTTTTCTTTGTTATGATTATTCATTAGAAAGAAAAGAGTGTATATCTTAAAATTTAAATCAAACAAATAGCTCTAATATAATTTTTGAAAATTATTGCATTATATTACTCTACGACTGTTGTATGAAACCACTGCCCGAACTGGAAACTAGTGGGTTTAAAAGATAAAGCGTGGTACTATCGTCCTTGATTTTCCTTTGAAAGAGCCTTCCTGTTTTCACCTCATGCTCTCTCATTTAATCGAAGCCTCAAAAATTAATTAGGAGTGAGAAAGCATGGTGCTCTTTCACCCAAAAGAATTTCATTTTCTTTTTCCCAATGCATTGACGCCTCAAATTAATTAGGAGTGGGAAAAGTTGGTTCCCTCTCTTTATATTCAAACACCCAAACAGCCCACCCCATCTATTCTGAGATGGTTTTCCCTTCTTTTCTGACCTTCTTTCTCTTACTTTTCTCTCTCCATGGCCTTGCCTTTGCTTCGAAAACAGGGCGCTACAGCTCTTTGTTCAGCTTTGGCGATTCGATTTCCGATACCGGCAACCTTCTCCTCTCGGGGGACAATCCGTTTATAGGGATAGCAAACCCTCCCTATGGCCAAACATTCTTCAAAAAACCGACCGGTCGATGCTCTGATGGCCGTTTAATCGTAGACTTCTTTGGTAATTTCTCTCTTCTTTATTTTTCTTTCCTCACGCATGTTATATTGTGCAGCTTTAGGCGCAGCGTTTGTTTTTGTGGAAAAGAACTCTTTGGGAAATGAATCTCTAAGTTCTTTTGCACTCCACCAACGCTTTTCATACTTCTCTATACTTGTTTTACGCAAAGCTGGTAGTTATTGTTGCACTAAATGAAAAAATAAAAAATTAAAATGGGGTACGATGATGCCATCATCGGATTAAGGGATAATTTTGAAAAACAAATATCATGTGTTGACCGATTTTTTTTTGTAATTTTCAGTTATAAATGGAGCATCCAGTATTTTTCATTATTTTTTAAGGGCCTTTCGTAATTTTTTACAAAAAAAAAAAAAAAGAAAACAAGAAAAAAGAAAAAAGGTCGCTCCTAGCACTGGAAAATAATGTAAAGCACGTTCCCATTCTTTCTCAGTACTCAGTAGTATTTTTTGAGAGAGCGGGATCACATCTATTTATTTGAGGGTGAAAACGGTTTCTCAGTTCTTTTAGAAAAAGTTCACGGGTGGCTGGCACTAAATCTACCATGGGCTAGAAACTAAGGCCTTGTCATCCCGGCCAAGCCGGGATTAGCGGTCATGTCTGATGGTTTCTCTTTTTGGTTCGGTCTGGGCTGAGTAGGGCCAGACCTCTAGGGTCGGGTCGGGGCTGGGCTTGTGCCAGCCATGCTCAGCCTGTTGCCACCTTATAGAAGCACTCCCAATGAATAAACTTTCTTAGAGCCCTTTGAAAGCACTTTCACAAGAAACAAAGATGTCCTTTGTGTTACATTTTTATGCTCAGTAAAACACCAACATGGATGGTAACTGTCATTTGGTAACTGTAAATAGCTGAGGCCTTGGGGCTCCCTTTCCTGCCTCCTTATCTTTCAAAGTCGAAAAGTAAGAAGGATTTTCGGAAGGGTATGAACTTCGCAGTCGCCGGAGCCACGGCTCTCAGTTACTCGTATTTTGAAAGCAGAGGTATGGGGTTGCTGTGGACAAACAAATCTCTTAGTGTCCAACTAGAATGGTTCCAACAGTTCCTGCCTTCATTGTGCCATCCAGGCACTGGTAAGACCTCTCTCCCTCTCTCTCTCCACCATAAACTATTGACTACTATCTCTCTCATCTCATAATTAATGGCTTTCCTGGCTTTGTTGATGCTTTTGAGGTGAAGACTGTAAAAGGTATCTCAAGAATTCATTGTTTCTAGTTGGGGAGATTGGGGGGAATGACTTCAATTATCCCTTACTACAGGCCAGGAGTTTACATGAAGCTAGAACTTATGTACCTGATGTTATTAAGGCCATCACTGAAGCTGTTTCGGTACGTCTCTTGAAGAGAAATTATGTAATCCTCACAAAGTTCGAAATTTTTTTTTTTGAATTTTAAGCTTAGTCAAAAGAATAAATACAATCATCCAATTTCACATCTAATGGTTAAAATTAATTTCAACTGTCTTGCACCAAAAAGTAAATGAGGTCCTATGAGGTCTTGTTACAAGCTTTCATTTAGAGAAGGCTATGCAACCTAAGGTTCTCTAGGTACATGGAGGTCCAATTCAAATGCAGTCCCCTTCAAAAATTTCATATGAGAAATAATCTTAGGATGAAAACACATCCTAGGTTGTCACTCTAGATACATTGATGTCTAATTCAAATATAACTTCCTTCCAAACTTCCATTTTTGAGATGAAATTACGATCAGAAACATATCTTAAGTCACTTTGGACATACATCAGTTTTAGATCCATGATTTTTAGCTAAAAAATGCATCCATGATGATTTGCAACGAACTAAAATGAATGATGATGAATGGTCCAAAATAGGGTTTAAAATTTTTTGCTTCTAGGTTTCAAAATCCTTTTTTTTTTTTCAAACTGGGACCACGTTAGTATAAATTGTCAACCTGTAATATTTTAGGCCCAAATCCATCTCTAAGATGAGTGTTTTGATGGAGCTTGTATATATATGGGAATACTTGCATACGCCTTTTTTCAGACGTGCCTAGGTACGTCACCTTCAAAAGCCTGGTCCAAACAAAATTTATTTAACCTCAATTGTGGGGTTGATCACAGAAAATACTTGATGGACAACACAAAAGAGAAAAAAGAAATTGATTTTGGGCACATTTAACTCTTGATCTAAAAATTCACCAAAACAAATAGCTAAAGTTTAATAGAAAAAAAATTCAAATAAGATAAAAAAGTGTATTACTCTTTCCTTTTTGAGAGCTCTCTCAAAAGAAAAGAGTAATACAATTTCCTATACCGCTTGAATTTTGTTTCTTTTAAAGGTAATCCGAACTTGGGAGGAAATAAAAAAAGAAAAGACAACTATCCTGAATTCTACTTCAGCAAAGTGTATTACTACTATCTCTAAGCTTAAAAGCATAGATGCAACATTTATTAAGTGCTAACAGGATGCAGCCACTAGAATTTACCACAACTTCATAGGATAAATCTAGTCCATCACACTTAAAACCTGTTTGTCATTCAATATGCAAGTCATCAAGGAGGAAAACAACAATATAAGAAGAAAATCGATGTCGAAATGATCATTTCTACTATTGTGAGACTTAGTTTTAATAAATCTACCGTTACCGATCCTAATTAATTGAGAAAAAGCTATGATGATGATGATGATGATGATGAGTTTTAATAAATCTAAAGGTCTTGATAGCTTCCAGTTCCTACCCTTTTAAAGATCTTAGAACACTTAAGCTAAGCCTTCCAAAATTTATTTGGAGAGGTATCTAATAATACAATCTAGTATTTCAACTTCTGTTATCCTATCCTTGAAAATCATTTGCTATGTCGTCACCGATTTTCATAGTCATTAGCCCTTGCAATGTGATTTATGAGTCAATTAGCAAAATAATTGCAAGGGCAAAAAATTAGTCCTTATGTGTGTTAATAGCCAATCCTAAGGGCCTTCCTTCAAAACAGAAGTATCTTTAGGCAAGGAAGAGACACACCACTGCACCTTGCATCTTTGTACATTCCATTGGAATTATCCTTTGTCCTTTAAAATTCATTTTTAACGTTTTTTATTGTTGTTTGCTGGTTATGAACAATGTTTGAATAATGCAGGTGTTGATCCGTCTGGGTGCGAAAACTCTTGTCGTGCCGGGTAACTTCCCGACTGGGTGCTCCACTCTTTATCTCACAGTTTTTCAGACAAACAACAAGGATGAATATGAACCAAGCACTGGATGTCTAATCCGTTTCAATGAATTTGCAAGCTACTACAACTCAAAGCTCCAAGATGGAATCCAAGCATTAAGAAAGAGGTTTCCCAAGGCCACAATCATCTATGCTGATAACTACAACATGTCTATGCGCTTTGTTGAAACCCCAACACTCTTTGGTACTTCTATCTCTCTACAATTCGTTTTTTTTTTTTGGAACTATGTTTCCTGCTTTTTTACTTTATTTCCATTTTTATATGGCGGGGACGAGTCAGGTTTAGGGACCCATCTCTTAAGAATATCCTTGTTAAGATGTCAAAAGTTTTTGTGCTCCTTTAGGATCATATTGTCCATTTACTCCCTCAGATAAATCTCAATATAAGAGTAATATTAGGATCTCAAGTTTTGGGGATGTACCATTTTCAACATAGTGACATATTTTGAAAAAACTAGGATCCCAAGTTTTGGGGATGTACCGTCCTCAACATAGCGACAGACTTTGAACTAAAGGAAAATATTTCAATTGCACTCTCTGTTAGCTTTAAAAAATAGAGTTAAACCATTTATCTTTAGTACAATCAGGTCACCATTACTTATAACAGTTCGATGTGAATTGATAGTTTGGGTGTATCACAAAGTTCAAGATAATTTATTTTTAACTTTGAAATTAATCAGTGGAATAAATGCCGTCACCTTATTTCACATCTAATGGTCAAGATTAATTATGACCATCATGTACCAAAGGTAAATGGTCTATTTGGTACAAGATGATCATAATTATATACTTTTTATAAAAAATAACATCGTAAAATTAAATGTAGACCGTCCAATTGTTTGATAACTAAATCAAAGTGTTAAAGAACTTAAAATGAAAGTCATTTTTTAATATAAGCATGTGGTGATTCTCAGTGGATCCCAATTTTCCAGACCCAAAAAAACCATTTTAAGTAGCTTTATCACCCGAGGGAATAGGCTCCTATAGGAACATGGCATAAGAACTCAAGTATGATATCATTATTCAATTGTAAATTATGAAATTGCACAATATCTCATATGATAAATATCTGTGCTCCACCATATAAGGTGAGTAGAGAGAGTGTCATTTTTTTTACCTAAACAACCAATCATTGGGAAGCGCGTCACAAACTCCAAGAAAACCATATTGAATAGCTCTTTAATACCATAATAATGGTATTCACCATTCTCCATTTTGGGGGCCTTAGTGGCAACGTTTTTGCCTAAAACGTTACGCTCATACTTTTAGTCCAATAGATAAGATCATTAAAATAAAAATTTAAAAGCAAATATCGTCATATTTTCTATTTTTAGGTTTTATTTCAAAATATACTTAGAGTTTTAAAAGATATCTTGAGATATAAAAATTATAGATTTTATTTCTTCTAACCCCCTGAGCTAATTTAAACTTGTTTTTTTAGGCCAAACAAATCTTAAAAGACACGGCTTTTCTAAAGGCCATCATTCCAAACCTCTAGAGAGAGAGAGAGAGAGAAAGAGAGAGAGAAGGGCTTCATAGAAATGAGAGGTTATCGAGAGAGGTGCTTGGAGAAGCACGAGAAGAGAGAGAGTGAGAGACATTGTAAGAGAGAGAAAGAGAGAAGTTTGAAGTATATAAGTGAAGAGAGAGAAATGATTGGGTTTAGAAAGAGTATGTCTTTTTCATATTTGTTTAGATTAAAAAATAAGTTTAAAGTAGACATGAGCTTAGAAGATATCTTTTCAAACTTTGAGTTTATCAATAAATGAAATCTAAAAATAAGATATAAGAAGATATTTTTCCAAAATTTGAATAAAGAAGCTAAAAATTGGCATATTTAAGAACTAGTGAAGTGAATAGAGGCCATCATTTAAGGAAAGAATTTACATTGAGGATCTAGGGGGTCGAGTTTCACCCCAAATGTTGTAGATTTCCTCATTATCACATGTACAATTTAAAATGTAAAATTGATTTGAAGCCTTAAAGGGTAAGATATGCCCTCTCATATATGGACGACTTGTGCTTATTGAATGCCAAAATAAATAGGGAAAATAACCTCTATCTACCTCGTTGAAATTTTCATTGCTAGTAACCCTTTCGGTTAACCAAAATTTCTTGCATCCCCTCAAGTTTTAAACTTTGGAACCAATATCCTTTTAATTATATATATTTTTTTCTTTTTACAAATTTGATCTTGTTGTTATACAAAATGCCAAACCCATACATTAGTCATCCATATTTTTTTTATAACTTGTTATATAAATTTTATTGATGATAATGACTTATAATTAATTAATAACTATAATAACAACAATAATTTATTGTTAAATATTTTATCTCTTATAAGTATCTTAATAAATTTTTTAATAAATAAATAATAATAACCATCAACAATAGTAACAAATATCTTGATTAATCAATTTTCAAGTTCAAACGATATTGATATAATTGTAAAATAGGTCATAATGCTAAATAAAAAATTATTATTTTTTGTATGTCTAAATTTATAGAGTGGGATCCACGGGGGTAAGATTGGTTTTAGGCAACAGAAGAGAAAGAGAACGAAAAATTTTATAAAATAAAAAAAAATCGAATTTTTAAAAAAATAGATAAAAACACAATTAGTGGGCTAACAGTATCGAACTTTCAAATTTCAGGGGGTTCAAGGGATTTTGGTGAACCCAAAGGGCTAATAGGGATGAAAGTTTTGGGGAGGAGGGTAAAGGTCATTTTCCCAATAAAATATGGGATTGTATACAAAGAGACCATTTACCTTTGATACAAGGTGGTCACAATTATTTATAATCATCCGATGTGAAATTTGATAGCTTGGGTGTGTCATAACATTCGAAAAAATTTCTTTGGAAGTTTGAGCTTGGTCAATGGAATAAATGCAGCCACCAAATTTCTCATTCAATAATCAACATTATTTGTGACCACCTTGTACCAAAGGTAAATAATCTCATTCTATACTTTTCCGTAAAATATTTTATTGTTATATTCAATTCATGGGATTTTTCATTACACTAAAGAGAATGCATGTATCAAGGCACCAAGCAAACACCCATAAGTAAATGGCCCTAAAACCTACCTCAACATAACGTCCCACCCTCTATTCCCATCGTTAACATTTTCTTTTATTTTTTAAAACCCCAAAATGGAGGGTTGGCAAACCAATATAGCCGTCCAAGGGCGTATGAAATGTTTTCCTTGTAATAAATTTTCTTTTAAGAATGAATAATTAGTGAGATATTTTTTTATTTAAAATAATTAGTGAAATATTCCTTAGTATATAAACTATAATTTAATTTTCCATTATCCGCACTCCTTAAATCTTAAAATAGTCTACCACCACTTTTTAGGCTACATATTGGACATTGCTCTCTTTCTTTGTAGCGTGATTTCATATAGAAATATAATGAAATAATCTTCAAAATTCACGTAGGGTTCATTTATTTGACTGGAATTTTTAAATATACACTCTTTTAATTTTAATAAACAATCACCAAAAAGAGAAAATAAAAAATGCACCCTATAAAGTATTTTCTAGCCTAATTAATTCGGGCTGTCCATTTTGGTGAGACACCTAGATTTAGACCTTAGAAAGATTTTCCCTTTATAGATTTTTTAGATTACTTTATTATCATCAGGCGAACAATATTAAAGAAGAAAAAAATGATTTTGAGTTTTTAAAGGCCTAGATCATAAAATTTAACAAATGGATGGTCTAGATTTAATGTTTGGGGGGACTCACTTTGATCATATCTAAGATCCAATTTGAAATATATTTTTTGGAATTAATTAATAGGATGAAGAGAAAGTGTGTGGAATTTTTGAGTTCATACAAATGCCGCAAACATGATTTTTTTAAAAATGTTTGTTTCATTATAATGATGTATATATATTTTTGCATGTATGTATATATTTGTATCGTGCATGGCACACATAGCAAGTGTGTTATATTTCTCTAGCAAAATGGCCTATCTTTCTCTCACGATGTTTAACTACTTGCGGAGTGCACTCAAACTTCCGTGAGTTACTCAGACTTGGCCCCTTCTTGAGCTGAGTGCCCATGAACAACTTGGGCATGCTACGAAACGTAAAAAAAATTTCATATGAATTACTGAGATCAATGTATTACAATTATTTATATAATTAATATTTTTTAATGATGTTTGCCGAGTTTTTTTTGTCATATGCTCTATTTTTTTTATTTTCTTCCTTTTTTTTTATTTTTATTTTCTAAAATGTCAAACCGCAAATCAAACTTTTCTATATCTATGTTTTACTTTTTTTAGCTCATTTAAATTAGTTTTTTCTGTTTCAAACTTTCAAAAAATTTATTTTATTTTTTATAATTTTTTATTTTTAAAAACTTCGAAGGCTTTATGGGTCCTCTACATTACTTCACCGAGTCCATCGGCGCTGGCCCGAGCCGAGTTTGAAGACATTGCTCCCTCTCTCTCACAAAAGGAAAATAATCTTTTGCCATAATATCTACTTCTACAAATTACAAAATTAATTTCCATCCCCAAAGTTGGAAGTTGAAACCATAGGAAAAACTCAAAATTCATAAAAATATCAATCCCTGATTTGACCAATGCTCTTTATGACCATGAACCTAGGATTTCCAAAGGAGAGAGTTCTTTTTGCATGCTGTGGAGGTGGAGGGCCTTACAACTTCGACATAACAAAGACGTGTGGAAGTCCCCGGGTCAAAGCTTGCACATATCCGGCCCAATATGCCGATTGGGATGGCCTACATCTCACAGAAGCCGCTTATGAGTTCATTGCCAAGGCCATGTTGAATGGAGAATTCATGCATCCTCCCATCAAACTTGGTGTTGCTGCTTAATGACTATCGATTCAAGTGTCAATTGTTAGTTGCTAAGTTTCTAATAATTTTCCAAGTGTGATCAATTACAAGTCTAGTGGATGTGGTGGGGGTTTAGTTATTTTCAATTTCTTAGTTATTTCTCCCTTTTTTTTACAAAGTTCTATAATGTATTGAATATCTTAATTGGTATATATGGGCTCCGGGCCCGTCATAACATGATCAGTTATTGGGCTTCAGGCCAAGCCTGTCAACGTTAGCTTTCTTGAGGATCTCATCTTAATCATAGGCTTAGTAATGGGTCAGGCGTAGCCCAATCAGGTCGACCTGGCCAATTCGATCAGCCCTAAAGAACTAGGATTTGAATGGACTGCAAGAATAACTTTACTCATAATGTCATAAGTTAGGGTTTGAGCATCTAATCTTTGATCATAGGCTTGGCCCAGCCTGGCCTAGGCTCGGCCTGTTGTAAGCCCTATTTGATTGGAAAGCTTAGAATATTTCCTTTTAGATTTGTTTTTTATAAAATCATTTTCACATAAAATTTGAGGCATGCCCACTTCTCATAAAGGCACACCTAAGAAAACATATTTTTGGCAATTTGTAGATGTGTTTTTGTTATTTTATTTTATCATAACTATTTTTTAATTTTTGTAGATGTGCCTCGTAAGGAGTGGATGTGCCATAAACTTCATATTAAGATGATTTATATAAGAAAATAAAAATAGTATATTGTTAGGCATATGACATTAAGACTAAAACTTTCCTAACCGTTTATTTAGATGAGACAGTTGGTGGCAACAATGATATATGTATTAAATGTAACTACCGCTGCACATAAAAGTTTCCTTTCCTTTGTAAAATGAGCCCACGGAAGGATCAATTACTGAAGGATATGCAAATTTTGTGGGTGACCTTATCAATGAGCTGATAAATGAGATATTATTTAGGGGTTAGCAAACCTAAACATGCTAAAATAGCCCAGGTTCAGGGTTAGGAAACCTAAACCAGCAGGGGCATTTCTCTTCTAAGAGGCCCCAACCAAATGACGGGTCTTACTTGTTTAGGGTAAGTAAGAATGATTGAAATTCTCCAACTTGGTTAGGGTTCCCAACACTAAATAAAGAAAATTTGAAAAGTTTAAATATACTTTTTGAGGAGAAACTTGGGGTAAAATGAATATTAAAAACAAAAGATCTTTGGAGTCTCTTTAATTATTTTGTAAGAGGTTTTGACTCCTAAAATAATATTTTCTCTAGAAGCTGTTTGATTGTCAAAACGAATTAAATGACATTATTGCATTTGTAATTATCACCTTTGCAAATTCACAGGTGCTTTGTGCTCTCTCTTTGAGTGGAACTATAATTTTATTGTTAATTTGTTATAGGAAAGATCAAAATTTTCCTTATTGTTACTGATTATTTGGATTGACAATCCTTTATGGTCAAATGACCAGGAAACTTTTGTCAAATTCTCTATATATATGATTCATGTTATTTACTATCTTGATTTCTCGATCTTGGATAATAAGACCACATATCTTCCTCAGGTATTAGAGTCCAATGAAACTACATTGAACTGTGGCTGCAAATGGGTGGTTGGGCCTCGATCTCATCGGGTCGGATGACCGTGCGGGAACCCAGATGTGTGGGTCCAGCTCCAGATCGGAAAATACTTGCTATATTTCTATTGCCATGAGGAAATCGTTGTGTATGAGAAAATTGCATATTAAACTGATAATAGCCAAGGCTTCTTTTGGTAGGGTCCTGTATTAGGAAAAGTTATGCAATGGTCATCACAATGGAAAGGCTTCATGAGGAGTAGGAATCTTGCCAAGATCTCCCTGTTCACCACTACAACAACCTTAGCTGGACTTGTATTTATCTCTTTAATTACGTCCACTTCCTCTACGATGGAGGAATGAAACACATCTATTTAATTAGTTACAATAAGGAGGAAGAACAATAAAGTTCAAAATATGTACAAAGGATCTTCTATTGTTCTCTTGCTAGTATCTCAAGTTAACTATCTATGTGTCAAGTATTTCCTTCTTGATTACTTTCATCGAAATTCTTTTCTCAAGCAACTAACAAAGAGTGACTAGGGAACAAAACATTTTAATAAGACCCCCACCTCTCACTTAGTTTCTGAAGCCACCAAGACCCTTAGATTCCCAGTCCTCTAACATCCCCCGTCTGGTTGGAGTGGTCAACATGCTTCACCTCAATGCCTCTTTCTTGAAGAGAGGATGGTTTGTTGAAATATCGAGAGAAGAGAAGGACCTACCAAATTCCCAAGAGTCGAAACTAATGTCGTGAGACTGTGGATCGTAGATGTCAGGTTTTTCCAGAACAATAAGAACTCAAAGATAACTTCTATGTATATGCTTCTCTATGGTCACGAAAGGCCTTGTTATAGAGGGATGGAGGAGGTTGTTCTCCAACGTTCGGTTTTCTTTTGGAATCTCTGAAAAATGTGGCCCACAATTCCTGGGAGATGTATAGTTATCATCTATCTGTTAAATGACTTATTCTCTCTAAGAAACCCTTATTTTTAGTGGTAAATATTAAATCATTAAGATAAATAATAAAAGAGAGAAATATGGAACATGTTAGGCCCCGTGGCCAATCATACATATCTATATCTCCCACTTGGTCATAAGGGCTAGATACATTAAAATATCATAAAGTTTATACCACTTAGTGGGTTTAATATTTATGAGCATATCATTGTCATGAGGCCTTCAAAATGTAGAAATGTGGGCTTGGCAATAAATATACTTTTTAAATATATTTTGAACTCAATTTTTAGTGAATATATAATCCTTAACATGGAAATCATGAATATGAAAAAAAATTTGAAAACTAGTAATAATAATTATATTAAAAAAATATTTGGATCATTAGTTACAATTGTTTTTAGATGAACCACCTATTTGCATCCATCTTTAAGATGGATGCTTTATACGTTAGGCTGCATATTCATGAAACAATTTCCCTTATATCATTTAGTATTGCAATTGTTTTAAAGGCAGAAGAACAATTAATTTTTGTATCTTGAAAAGGAGCAAATTTATCATCCTTTTGGGTATGTTCCGTACAGAACCAAAAAGGGTTTGTTATCTCAAATTTTATTGTCATAAACTTCTCAAAGAGAGATGGTCATTTGGATGTTGTGAATGTCAATGCTCATTAAGGAATTTTCCCTTTTGAAGGCCATGACTGAGTTTGCAATTTTGAAAGGGAGCTAGAGCTTTCGTGAAAGGCCAAGAAGTGGCCATTTATGGAAGGCCTCGAGCAATGTTGTCAGATTCACTTCGGAGTCTTTTTCGGTTTGGTAAAAATATGACGTAATTCGGTGTTTCGGCCGATTGAGAGAAAGACTTTGGAATTTTTATAAATAAAACAAAATCAATATAAATAAATTAGATATTTATATATAAAAAAATATATACAAATAATGGAAAAAAAAAAAAAGCTTTTATATAGCTATTTCTTTGTTAGTTGAAACAGATCCGAAGCATACTCAAATCTGACCAAAGCTGCATTACTAGGCTTAGCTTCGCTTCGGATTGTGCCTAAAATTCAAAAGCTTCGGCATCTTTAGCCAAAGGAAGCGAATTTCATAACATTGGCCTCCAGTGACCGTTAAATTGCACATGCGACTTTTCAAGAGGCTTACTCATGTGACCATGCCCAAACCCCCAGTTTTTAAGTCGGCCCTGCCTCCTCACAAATCTTTAGCAATGGATGCCTATCAAAGGGACTGGATAATATGTTTTAAGTCTCTCAAAAGAACAGTGCCCTTAGGAATTGGGCTTTGACTCGAATGATTAGTAGCACCGCATCTCAAGTTTGATTCCTACCACTGAATTATCCAAAAACAAAAAAACAAGAAACAAATAGTGGCCCATCTCTACCCTCTGTTGACGACAACGAATGGTGGATGGCCGACGTAGCAGTGCGCACACGCAACGCGTTAAACCTTTGAAGCATAAGCTGTGTTAAATTCAGGTCAAAAAATACGGCTACACAACCACAGGCTTCACCAAAATTAGATTCAGTTTTCAAACTTGAGACCATACGGCACCATAAATGCTCGCTTTTCTGACAATTAAATATGGAAAAAGTTTAGATAGAGCCGAGGCTCTAAATAATCAAATTAAAACCTACTTTAAAAGTTTCACTATAATAAGTTGTTTTGATGTCCAAATATCATCAAATTGTATGGACATAAGAAAAAAATGAATTTCAAGTTTTTGAAATAATGAATTTTGTAATGTATTTTTGGACTGTCAATTTTTTATTATCAAATTTTCATAAATCTGCTCGATCTATGCTATTTTTTAAACTTTAAATTTTATAATTAAAAATGAAAATATATTTTAAAGTTATCACAAAGATTTTCAGTATGGAAACCACATTTCTTGATACTATTTGAAGGTGTGTTTTACTTTGATTGTTTAGAACCTCGGCTCTACAGAAACCGCACCCATTAAATAATCCCTCAAAGTCAACCCATCCGATCTTCCTCTCTGCTCGATTATCCTACAAATACAAATAGGAGAGCTTCTCTTGTGTCATAACAAATTGTAAGTGAAAAATAAGAGAGATGGCAAGCAAGAGAGGCATGCAGCATGCTCTGGCAGCTCTTTTACTACTTCTTTTCTTGTGCTCCCTGTCTCCTCTTGCTACTGCCGCACGCATGACCCAGGGTAAGCATATCTCCTTTAGCTACAAATTTTGATTTTTTCTGGCAATGCCCAGCCGGACGATAGCAACCATAAAATATGGCTCAAGTGCCGGTCCACGGGCAGGCAACTATGGCCTGATATAGGACCAGGCCGGGTCTAGGCTTACGCCAGGACCATTATAGCGCCGGCCCCGTTTGTCAAGCTCTGCCTAGCCCTTTATTTCCCTTATTTTTTTCCTTTATTTGTCTTCTCTTTGTTTTTTTGCATTTTGGCAGGGCCGAACCTGACCATGCCTTGTCAAGGCTAGAGCCGGGCCTGGGCCAAGCCTTCTTGGGCTAATTCGGGCTTAGACAGTCTTGGGCCGGCCCTACAGGGATTAGGTTCAGGCTAGGCCTGGCCATTTTCCCCCACCACGGGTAGGTTTTTTTTGTTTGTTGGGTAATTCAATGGGGAAGATAGTGGATTAGGAGGTAGCTTTTTGAAAATGTTAGATGGTGTCAGTTGTGGAAATGGAAACCATGGCTACTAAGGT